AAAATAGGTCTTGAGTATATCACTTTTAAATCAAACCAGAAACTAGACCAGCTCTGGGAAAACACTCATATTTACCGTATGCATCATGTAAACTGGTGAGATAGCATCTTCATCTTCGCAATAATCATGAAAAGTGTCATTATTCCCATTTATAGGAAATATTAAACTGGGGGAAAACAAGTATAATAAATGTTTTAACTGGCTGAGAAATAATATTTGGTGCAGCTTGCTGAGATGGAGGCTCTTTCCACCTCTCAAGGTCATGGCTTTGGAATAGGAGCCTAAGCTCTGGTTGCTTCTGTGGGGCTGTACATGAAAATATTTTGGTGCCCCCTAGAGGTTATCCGAAGAGTGCCATTGTTTAATGGTAGTGAACTGAAGCCAGCCAGTTCAGCAGGTGCTATCTATGGTACATTCCCGGCTTGATTCTCAGTACAGGCTCAGGTACAACCTCAGAGAAGCTCCCAGAGAGCCGTGGCTCTCAGACTTCAGTGAGTATTAAAACCGCTTGGAGGACTTGTTAGAACTCAGATTTCTGGTCTCCACCCCCTGACTTTCTGATTATGTGGCTCTGAGGTGGGGCCTGATAATGTGCATTTCTAACTACAATTCCTGGTGTTTCTGAGGCTGCAGGTCCAGGGCCCACAGTGTGAGAACCACTGCCCTCGAGAATCATCTCAACATTTAAGCCAGTTGCAGAAGCTGGTTGGGTTTCAATATCCTTGGGGCGCTGGTGCTGTGGATATTCTCTCTCCACTGCTTCCTTTAGATTACCATATACAGTCATAGCAATATATCTTCTGCCCGAGGAGCCATTTCTGACCAAGTACAGATATCTTGACCCCTGTGAGTTCCAGAGGTTCTATAATAGAGTTGATTGTAGGAGAACCAATTGGGATTTGAGATCAGAGAACTCAGATTCTGATTTCAGCTCTGCATTGAATCAGACCTGGCCAAAGACCAACACTCTCACCTGAACTCAAATAAAATAGCAACCTTCTAGAACTACACTATGGTTTTAACCCTATCCAATGGCTTGGCACTTAGGAGTGAAACAAATTTTGGTTCAACTTTAATCATTAATGCTCTGAGGGTTCCATATCTGTATTTTCAATACAGAGATATTATGAAAAAATTATAATTAACATGAACATCTTTTGCAACAATGCAAGATCATAGCATGAAAGCAGTTAAATCAACAAAATTATTCTGTAAGTTTCATGAATTTGATACTGTTATTTACCTTTGTTTTAACTCATATTTACCTTTTTTAGTAATTCTCTTCTCTTTTCCTTTCCCCCTTATATCCCAATTTCACAAACTCTTTTTTCTAAAGAAAATGCAAATAGAGAAAATGTGTTGCTCTGTATTTTTAAAAAACTGTATAGGTTTTTAATGTCTAAAATTGTTTTCTAAATTACTTTAGTAACTGTTGTTGTTTTTTTCTCAACGTAATAGGAGATGTGAATGTTGACTCTAGTGGATTCCACTTCTGGTTAATCCCGGTCAGGATTTATGGAGACCTCATGTGGTGACTAGAGGCACCACAAAGGGCTTCCTTCAGGAGGGGGGAGCAGAGTCAAAGAGAAACTCAGAACTCATTTGGGAGCAACATAGAATGAAGACCTAGAACTTGATGGTAGTGAAGCAAGGTAAGGCCTCTAAGAACACATTGCAATAATACTGAAGAAACAATATAAACTATTTGTAAAAATGAGAAATCTGGTCACTCATGTATGAATTTCCCTTTATTATCTGAAAAGTTGATAACACAGAAATTAATGTGCCATGTCTCTCATGGATTAGTTGCAATCTTCCTCTTTTTTTCTTAATAAAATCCATTGGACATACCTTCTTATTTAAATTTGCATCAAGTTAAACTATATGTTTCTGTAGGCCTGTTGCTCTGAATGCTACTTTCAGCTCTTTTCTCCATTGTACACAGAATGGAAAGTGAGCCAGAGAAAGAATCGAACTTGAACTTATGTCTATGACTTGCCTTGTGTAACGATCACATAACATTATTTGTGAACTAGAGGCCCGGTGCACGATATTTGTGCACTAGTGGGGGGGTGGGGGCTCAGCCCGGCCTGCGCCCTCTTGCAGTCTGGGAGCCCTCTTGGGATGTCTGACACGGGGAGCAGGCTAAGCTCTACAGTCAGACTTCCTTAGTGTTGCTGTGGAGACAGCAGAGGCTCCTGCCACCACGGCTGCACTCGCCAGCCATGAGCCCGGCTCAGGGCTTCTGGCTGAGCAGTGCTCCTCCTGCGGGAGCGCACTGACCACCAGGGGGCAGCTCTGCATTGAGCATCTGCCCCCTGGTGGTCAGTGCATGTCATAGTTACTGGTCTTTCCACAGTGTGGTTGATTTGCTTATTAGCCTTTTATTATGTAGGATATTGGAATACAGGATTTTTTTTTTTTTTTGCAAATAAAATATAGAGAAATGATTCTATGTGGTGGATAAAATTGAACATAAATCATCCTGTTGCTAAGAAGGTATAAAAATTGTGAAATTAATGAATTTAGTGTGGTAGTAAACATATTTCAACCATATGATTCACTGGTACAGACTAAAGAAAATTCACTGGGAATAGAAGCGGGTAGAGAGGGATGGGAAAATTCTTCATCAATGATAGGTACTTGTTCTTTATCTCATGTTCCTTTAAAGAAAATGTGAATATAGCTTCCACCTTCTCCTTCTTAAGAACTTTAAGCTAAAATCTAGAAGGATAAATGAGAGTTAATAAATGTCTGGGATTCTTTAAAAGAATCAAGCAATGTAAATCTATGGCATTAAAATGAGTATCCTAAGAGTACCTTGTCTTTGGAAATGTCCTCAAAATGCCCTTAAAAGTTTTCGAGGGCAGGCAAAATGACATAGGTAGAGGTAGCTATTATGAAAAGACATTTTACATAGACACAGACTATGTAGTGCAGTGAAGGCCTCAGGAAGGGCCTGGAGGGGGTAGAGGAGGACCAAGGGGGGAAGACATTTTGAAAAACATAAGTAGGAAAAATGTTAATGGGGATAATGGAGAAACTTCAGATTGAGTATATTATTGTGTTAAAGAAATCAGTCTGTTTCAGAGTTCCTACTGTGTGTCCAGCCTATTGTTAAATGTTGGACATAAAAAGGGGAATTGGACAGATCCTATTTCTTTCAAATGGGTGACAGATAATTATACAAATAATTATCACACTGTGAAATTGGCATTAGGCTGGGGGCTTGCACAAATTCCCCTGACAGCCCTGATGGAAATGGGCAAGGGAGGGTTAGGTGAGGCATTTAAATTCATGCAAAGTTATTGACGGATTTATATGTCAACAAACCAATAGCGACATTGGTTTAGTTGGGGGCGGGGCGGGGGGGGGTTGGTGAGGGCGGATCTGGAGCGTGGCAGCAGTTGCCAGACACACATCACATTAGAAAGACAAAAAGAAACCAGGAAATTCTCTTCCAAGACATAGTGGGGGAAAATATCCGTAACTTCCTTCCGGTACAAGGTGCTTGCTAGGAATTTATTTTTTCCCTCCTCATTAAAATCACACACATACTCAAGCCCTTAGAGTTTTGTGAGCATATTATATATTCAAGACACCAACTGAGCATGGTATTGTCAAGCGTGTGATGATAAGGAAAGGGTTAAACGGAAGGGGGTGTTCCAGACATGGGAAGGCTGGATAGAAGGTGGAAAACCACCGTTTTCCCACTTGCAAAAACTCTGAACTTTTAAGCTCCCCAAAATACACGTGTGTGTGTCTGTGAGCGCAGGCAGATCTATTTCGGTAGGATTTAAAAACATTTTTTTTAAAAAAATCATCCTCTCTCTGTCTTGCTGCGCTGCAAACACCGAGCAGCCCCCTTAGGATCGCGTGGCAAAGGCTGCAGCAGAAGCATCGACTGGCAGCGCTGTTTACAGCCGCGTTCCAAGCCGCCCTCTCCCCAGTCCCCCACTGGGAGCCACCATCTCCGAGGCCGGGTCACCCCTGGGGACCTGGAACTGGGGGCGGGGGCCCGGGAGCCCGGTTCCTCCCCAGAAAACTTTGCTGCGCGTGGGAGCGAGGGCGCTAGTCGTGGTGCATGGGAACGCGCCGCAGCCGCCTCCTCGCCCGGCGCTGGGCTGTGGCCCTACCTCTCCGGGCGGGCGGCGAGGTGCGGGCTCCCTGTGCGCAGCCAGTGGGCGGGGCCGGCGGCGGGGGCGGGGCCGAGGGTGGGGGCTGGCTGGGTATATAAGGCTGGTGGCGCCGGTTTAACTTCGCACTTGGGGTTATTTATCTGGCGAGCGCACCAGCCTCACTGGCTGGTGGTGGAGGAGGTGGTGGTAGTAGTAGTGGTGGTGGCGGCGGCTGCAGAGGCTGCCACAGAAGGTGATTAAAAAAAAAAAAAGCAGCAGCGAGTGATGGGAGCATCGTGGCTCCCGGGCGCCTGCTGGAGCTGCGGAGTTTTCGGGGCGCGGCGGGAGCGCTGAGAGGAAGGGGAGCGTCCAGTCCGGGACCGGACCCGGCAGCCGCTCCGGAGGTGGTGCT